AAATGTTAAACTTTTATTTTGTTCGAATGTTAAAATTGACCGAACTACGAATTTTCTTTGATCTTCAAAATCAATGCATTTCTTGCTAATTTAAACAAGTAAATAAAAAATGCTCCTTATTTTATATATTATGCACAATTATTAATTAAAATAAAATGCTAGAAATCATTACAATGGAATCAGTTGTTTTCAAAAGGGAACAGGTTCATTCCTCGATGAGTCTTAGTTAGCATGTCCTTTTATGCAAACCAAGGGTCATACAAAAATGGAGTTGTTCCTTTTTGATAACAATTGATTCAACCACCTCTAAACGATCTAAAATGTACCAAATAATTTGTATTTACATTTATTGAAAGAGACTATTCAAAAATAATCGGATGGATCTTTCTCGATGTTTCATTCCTTTAATGAGGAACACTTAGAGTATTGGTAGTCTTTTCCCTTGAAAATTAAGTCAGGTTTAGATGAAAGTCTCTCCAACTTCCCTTACATTAATCGAAAAAAATTTGCCCTTTTCGATGGAAATTTTCCTTAAAATTGAGCAAAATGCATTGACTTAAGCTTAATGTGAGGTTCGGCTTGATCTCGCCTCCCCTCTCCCTAGCGTCAAGTACAAGCGTCAGGCATTGGCTGAGGCTCCTAGGGCCCTAGGGCTCTGATGTTATTATCGAATGGCCTTTAGGACAATATCTCGTCGAAAATTATCGAGGTATTCAAAATTGCAGTCTGCGGATAAATACTTAAAACCGTGTCTAGGCACATGAAAATATGCTTGACTCGAGTTTTAGTCTCGGTAGGTATTGATTGTGAGTGTACCTGGGCAGTTCCTGGGTCCTGCAGCGAACGGAACGTAGGCGTAAGGATGGCGACCCGCACTTTTTTCCGGACTGAAATGATCCGGATCAAACTTATCCGGATCCGGAAACACCTTCGGGTCTCGGTGGAGGTTGTACACGCTCAATATTAATACAGTGCCTTTTGGAACGGTGTAATTACCTAGAAAAATACAAAGTAAAATACATTAATTTGTATCAATTTATATGTATTTGGATAGAGATGAGCCGCATGTATGATACCCCTAAAGAAAATAGTGTAATCTAACCCACATATCCTCACTCCTCTGACGTAAGGGTGTATTTTAATTTCCACGAAAGCCCTGTTCTACGTGTGAGCCCATGCTTTCTGGGGATCATGTAGAAATCGAGATACGCTCTTACGTCAGAGGAGTGACGTCATTTGGACGTATTAATGCTAAAAGGAACTATGTACATATGGATTGCGGGTGGCACAGTTCCTTTTAGCATAAATACGTCCATTTGATACGAGCAACTAACCCGTGCTTCGGACGAAACGCAATGGCACGCCTCAATATTGGCGCGCTTTTATCCGATGACGATATAGATAGTGTCACCCAGATGTTCAACTTTGTCACGCATATGAGGCTATTACTTTCCCATGTTCAGCCTGGACGATATTCATTTTAGAGGAGGAATACGATTCACCATACTAATAAAAGGCTACAAATTTGATAAAATTTGACAAATTTTGACAAATTTTGATAATTCTCTGGAGATTCATTAGCAAGAATAGGAAATCGGAACCAGTAATTTTTGTCACGAGGGGCCGTTCATAAATAATATGCAAATCTGAATTTTGGATTTTTTTAACCCTTTCCTTCCACCCCCTTGACGCTTCTGTGGCGCAAGTCGCAATTTTTCAACTTGTAAAAACAAAACATTGTAACACTATTCTTGACTCCCGCCAGAGCGTTACGTACTTCATTCACCACTCCTAATGGCAGCATCATTTATGGTATATTATTGGCGTTCCTTACCAATCGCCCAATCTATTTTTAATTCCACCGTGTACTACATCTGTACACTAATAAAATACTAGGGGACCAATCCAGCTACTCCACTTCTGCTCAAGAGGCGCCTCGCATCCAATAAGGAAGTATTTCTGCCAAACGGAACTATAAGCATTAAGACATGCGACCCGTAAAAATATATGCGTAACAGGGATTAAGCCATAATGCGCATAGTTCCGTTTGGCAGAAATGCGTCCTATTATGATGTCCGCCTACCTCGGTCATGATTTGAAAATTTGAGGATTTATCTACTAAAAGTTGACAGCTGTACAAATTTTGGAAGTTGGGTCTCCGCTATTACTAGATGTAGCAATTGCAAAAACTGAAAAATCGAGTAATACAATTAATGAACTCATATTTAGGCTGAAATGAAATGTTTCGCCTTAATCTCAAACTTACCGACGCCTTACATCTGAGCCTCAAAAACCAGGATCGGGAACTATCGTCAGAGAACATTACCTACCTACTTGTAAATCTTCTGCAACCTCTCTTCCAAGCAAAGGAATACCAGGGAGTAAACGCAGACTTTCTTTGATTACTTGCTCAAGATACGTCATTTTTTGTAGATCTCCCACCGTGGGCTTTCTGTTTGAACCTTGAAAAATATCGTCAAGTTCCTGGTGACACTTTTCCTGCCAAAATAAAGAGACAAGATTTTTATACTCGTATAATGGCACAAAATTTCTTTTTTATTTGATCTAAGAACAGACATTTTTCGTTGGACCCCCAGATTATGTTCTTTTTCTTATTTTTTTTTAAAAATATAATAATATGATGCATATTACACATTAAGCTAAATTTAATGTTTATCAAACGTGCTGATACGCCACTTGCGTTTGCTATGTTTCAAGCACGAGAAAAAAATAATTACCAGGGAGCAAGATGTTAAGGATTTGAAGCGTGCTTAACCTGCCCTCATTTGTTAAAATCAAAATACATACATTAAGCCGCTTTCATAGCACAGCCGCGCGCTCTGCGATGCCCAATCACCATTGCCCCCAGTCCAGCCCCCAGAGATCATCAGGCAATAATTGGCACATTCTGATCTCCTCCTCCACCCCTTGTCGCCAACCTTTCAGAGGACGTTCACGCCGCGCCGTCCTCTTCCGCTTCTTGTTCTTGCCACTACTCCTCGATATTTGCTTTCAGAATTTTAGGGTACCTGCGACCGACAGTCCTCTATAAACTAAACTAATACTGACCTCAATTGTGATTACACTCAAAAAAAAAAAAAAAAAAAAAAAAAAAAAAAAAAAAAAAAAAAAAAAAAAAAAAAAAAGTAAAGTAAAATCAAAATACATAATTAAAATTGGAGCACCAATAATTTAAATATCTATTTGCTATTCTTATTCAAAAGTTAATATTTGTCTCCAGCATACAATACAAGTATGAACGTTATACGTTCAAAGTTTTCTATTCAGGTACGCCTTCTATTTTGTTTCGATGTTGAAGATCTCTAGCTTTGGTCACCTTCCTACCTCCTCCCAGGAAAAATGTTCTGCTTCACTCGTAAGAGCTTAGAAAGGAAAGAACGAAGTAACTGACAATTACCTGAATCTCTGGGTGGTTACCCAAAAGAAATAATGTGTAACCCATCGAACCAGAAGTTGTATGCTGACCCTGAGAAAAAAGAGGAATAAGAATTAAGAATTCGACTGACCTCAAAAAAGATTAAGCACAATAATGTATTGTTGTATAATAGCTTCCAAAAATTCCAAAATGTTTAATGCGATTGTACTCGTGATCAATGAGCTATGATTGACGTTCCGCAGCTTATGACAAGATATAAAATAATAAAACCATACACAGCAGGTAACAAGGCTAATTTACACGAATATAAGCAAAATGTTTCTGCTGAACTGAGGACAAAGACAAGAGACCCTCCGCCGGTATCTTGGCCATGGTGGAAGCTTTTATACTTTCGGGACTTCAGCATTCTACTGTTGACTAACCTACATGGTTGATGTTCAAGAACGTGTTGGCAATTTCATTTTGCAAACAAGCCAAAAATGGTCGAAGATTGGGAAACTTGTGTGGCTCATGGCGTTACCCGAAGCTCACCATTCACCATGTAGGTAGGTCAGCAGCCGAAATTAGGAGGGTGATGACTGTTGCTCCCTGCTAATAATTGTCCATAAGGAATTGTTGAAACCCCGAACGTAAAAGCTTCCACCTGTCGCCAAGAGGTCAGTTGAGGATCTCTTGTCTCTGACTGAGGAGGGCTGAGTTTTCAGCCGAAACGTTTTGGTTGTGTTCGTGAAAATCAGCCTTGTTATCCGCTGTGTAAATTGTTTTATAATTGTGATCAATGCGTTCGAATCACAAAGGCGTAAATTAATACAATAGAGTAAATTAAACTAAAACGATCCCTTATCGTGTCTTATTTCTGGATATCGATATTAATATCACAAAGAGTACATAATGTGCGGGTCTTCTTCAATAATTGAAAATGATTGTATTCTATTCATTCCTTTAAATAAATTTCACCCTACGGAAAATAAATTTTTTTGTGGACATTGCAAAAGCCTCACTTCTAACTTACCCCAAACATAAAAGTACTAACTTCATCCCTTAAATCTTCATCCAACAAACTGACGGAGTTTTTTTCGCATGCTTCCAGTAAAAGGTCAAGAAAGGCCATTTTTTGAGACCCTGAGAAAAGAAACATCGTTTTTCGAAAAATTTTGCAACATCGGTCGCGCAAATCGAAAACTCAAGGGGTCCTGTCTAGAGCCATCTAGAGCCTGAAAGCTTTCATTTAAAACAAATCCGAGGAAAATCGGTCCAGTAGTTTCCGAGATCGAATTAGCACAAACTGTCCAAACTGAAGGAGGACAAAAAAAGCCTTAGGATATTAAATATATAGATCGATGACTCAACCATTTTTATCATGATTTGTTTGAGTGAAAAATATTTTTACCATGTTGTGTTCAAAAATAAAATAAAATTGAAAATTTGACAATCATCAAAAGGATTACATTTAAAATCTCCACCAGCTCATTGAAATCAAGATTTACAAAAACTTGTCTTTGAGAGAAATGAAAAATAAATTCTACAAATATCAGCTCCCTTGCCCTCCAAAGAAGTTGGCTCCAATCTGCTGAACTGGATCTAATTGCCCCAACTTACTTACCACAGATATTGTCCAAGGCAACGAGTTTCATCTGCGTCATCACATTGACAAATGTTCCGTCCGGATTCTGATGTAATTGATCGATGAGTGTCAGCGTGTTGCTGATGAACACTTCGCAGGAGTCGTTCAAAATTGAAAAGTGAAAAGCAGGATTTGTGAGTTTCCTGCGTTGTTGCCACAGCGGACCTGTCAAAGGGATAGACGTGCATTTTAATAGGAGTAAAACAAAGGAAAATCGGGATAAAACATGTCGTTGACAGTTTTTCATTTCTCCGAGTTTCCGGGAAAAAGTTTTACTTTTTCTCCAAGTTGTCTGCAAGAGCAAGTGTTTGGAACATTCTAAGTTTTCCAAGGAAACTTTGCTGGAGGGCCCCTGCCTTCCAATGTTCACTCAGTGATTACTAAACATTTTTTCTTTTTTTGTCACTTCTCGTATTACGGGCTTCGAGAGATCCAAGAATCTAAAGGGCCCCAAAGAGCCTTGGGGGCCTTTTGATTCTTGGGCCTGGGCTCCTCTGTAGATCCTTGGGCCTAGGCTGGGCCTCCGCCACCCTTTAGATCCTCGATCCTTCAGGGGTCCAATTAATCGGGTGCGGGATCCGGGACTGTAAGGGATGAGGCATTCCAAGTCCAAGTCCGTGATTTGAGATGTCTCGAGCCAAACAATGGGAAGGGGCGGGAGGGGGAGATAATTTTGGAATTTTATCGACATAGGGGGCCTGGAAAAAATTTTGCGGGGGGGCCCAGCGGAAGTCCGCTACGCCCATGCACGGTTCGTTTCAGAGGGAGGTAAATAAAATTGTGTTGCCCACTCAAAATTCCTTCGGGATCTTGAAGTAGGATGCATACATAGTCATTTAAGCCTAAAATGAAAATATTCTGTCGAGCTCTTCGAAAATAAAATCGATTTTTGTGTTTTTGGCGCTAAAATGGCTTTCAAAGACGATCGATGATTCAATTCCGATGGGTTGTGCATATGTAAAATGGTACATGTGTGATGGACTCTACGTATTTTTGGACCAGGAATCGATTGAGCAGAGTCCTGAATCGGTCCGAAGCTTCATTGACTGAAAAATGGGCCTTTTTTGGATTTTAGGGGTGTTTTGGGCCCATTTTCCCCCAATTTTGGCGTGAAAAAACCTGTGCCATCATGGGTAATGATTATCGGGTCATTTCGGGCGGACCATCGAATGCACTTGGTCCCGAGACACTCCGGGACTTCCGGAGTGATACAGGGTTTTCGAGATACAGGGGATCAAGGTCCCCGATTTTCACTTAATTCTGCAGGTATTTTAATGTTCAATTCCGACTATAAATTGATTTCTGATTTAGATACAAAAGCGCATTTTGCGGTGGTTGATTCAGCTACGTGTGGTGAATTTTTCTACATATTTCACAAACCCTCACTAGCTGAATCAACCACCGCAAAATGCGCTTCGATATCTAAATCAGAAATCAATTTATAGTCGGAATTGAACATTAAAATACCTGCAGAATTAAGTGAAAATCGGGGACCTTGATCCCCTGTATCTCGAAAACCCTGTATCACTCCGGAAGTCCCGGAGTGTCTCGGGACCAAGTGCATTCGATGGTCCGCCCGAAATGACCCGATAATCATTACCCATGATGGCACAGGTTTTTTCACGCCAAAATTGGGGGAAAATGGGCCCAAAACACCCCTAAAATCCAAAAAAGGCCCATTTTTCAGTCAATGAAGCTTCGGACCGATTCAGGACCCTGCTCAATCGATTCCTGGTCCAAAAATACGTAGAGTCCATCACACATGTACCATTTTACATATGTACAACCCATCGGAATTGAATCATCGATCGTCTTTGAAGGCCATTTTAGCGCCAAAAACACAAAAATCGATTTTATTTTCGAAGAGCTCGACAGAATATTTTCATTTTAGGCTTAAATGACTATGTATGCATCCTACTTCAAGATCCCGAAGGAATTTTGAGTGGGCAACACAATTTCATTTACCTTCCTCTGAAACGAACCGTGCATGGGTATTACTGCTTTGTTTTTGATTCAATGGCCTGATACCAGAGGCGATTTTGCAAGTTGTCTGCACTGTTTTCCTCTGTTTAAATGTATGTAAAACAATAAATCCTCGGCAAAGCAGCTTGCCCAACCTAGAATCAATTTTTGGAATGGATTTAAACGCAGGAAATTCGCAGTTTTGCCAACTTGCAAAATCGCCAGTGCTTTGTAGGCACTTACCGCTGCTGGTGAGGAGTCCAAGCCCCAGCCATTCGTGAAGTAAGCGGTAAAATTCAGGTTTGATTTCGGTACATTCTGATGTGAATAATACCTGGAAAACAAACAAAATCTTGATGGAGTAAGTAAGTAACTACTTTCAACGTACATCAAATTCGCTGTATGAGGTTAAAAGGCATTATTTGTGATTTTTATTAGAATATTATTTCAGTGACTTTGAAGAGGACTGTGTGGAGTCTCCGTTAGACTTCCAAAATAAGATGTTTCAAAGACTATTCTGCGTTTTTGCGACATAAATTGCGTAACTCCTCTCTATCTAACAGAACAAAATCCAAGGGGATAAATACTGTCTTTCGTTTTTAATGTTTTTAATTTTAAATGCTTACCTCAGCATATTTTCCCTCTGCAATAAAAACTAGGGGAAAGCCGCCTATCCAAATACGGAACAAGCTACCATACTCCTTATACCTTGCATAAACCATTGTTGGCATATCTGTAATTCAGGAATAATACATTTAATCAGTGGAGCGTAGAAGCCTTATCTATATTGAAAAAACTGTAGGGATCGAAACCTTGTTATCCTTAATTCTGAGTAACTTCCGGGCCGAGTTCCTTGAATTTTGTTGCAAAGGAAAGCTATTGATCTCCAGATAATACCAAAAATCTGGAACTTTCAATTTCCGCTCCTGAAAGTTTTCCTGGAGCTCGCGAAGCAGCTATAGTCCATTGAATAAAGTTCTTCTGTCATTTCAGTGCAATTTACTTAGTTAAAGAAATTGTGGCAATCTCCAGACTGCTAATATGCTTGCAGTGCTCACGCCACTTTTGGTTTTTATGGAGCTTTCGCGGTCATAAGTGCTGACAAAAATAATGTTGTAGCGCGAGTACGATAATAGAATACTTGTAAAATTGCCCAATAATACTGTCAACGAGGTTGTCATATGATCCTGGGATTGCTGTAAAAGTGGATAAGTCTTCGGTTTTAAAGAGAAACGTAACTCTAAGCTTAAAACATCGTAAATTATCTTTTTTTCCCTGAAAAATGCCGGATGCAATTTAAAAATCCTCTGTGCTTTCGTTTTGATATCGCGATGCGCGGAGCGTGATTTGTAGAGCAACTGTTTTTGCCTTTCCGGTGGCTTTGAATTTATGTTCTCAACCAAATCTCAATTTCATTCACAATTAAAAACTCTTAAGTGACCTGAGGTTGCGGATCCACTTGAAAGAATGAGATAATACATGTATTTAAGGCTCATCCGTAGAAACACCTATGTATAGGTCGGGAAATAATGGAGATGTTGCATGTGTGAGGAATTCGCGATTTTACTACTGATTCTTATGTATAAGTTTGCAAGAAACACGATGGTGCCACCGGTTTTCTCTAAGATTAACTCCCATGCTCAAACAAAGCTCTCAAGTTAAGGCCAAAATGGAGGGAATACCCAGAGAGTCCACCTCTACATCAATACAAACTCTCCATGCAAAGATAGGGAGCAAATAAATTTGCAGGGTTGCCGTGTTTTCAGTTTTAGAGTCTGCAAATAAAGTGGCAGCCCTGTCAATGTATTTGCTCCCTATCTTTGCATGGAGAGTTTGTCTTGATGTATAGGTGGACTCTCAGGATAGCACGAGATATCCCTCCATTTTGGCCTCAATTTGAGAGCTTTTTTTGAGCTTGGGAGTTGATTTCAGAGAGAACCAGTGGCACCATCGTCTTTCTTGCGAACTTTTACGTAAGGATAAACAGTCAAATCGCAAATCTCTCACACATGCAACATCTCCATTGGACATGAGATATTTTTAAAATGAGCCGGAAATAGTAGTTGCTGATTGTAAAGTGTTATTTGAAGTATTCTTACACATACTTTCATGCCAATGTAATATAGAATATCATGAAATAATTTAGAAAAATGTTCTAACGGTATTCTGAGACCAGAGCAAGTTATATGATTATTCACCATAATATAACTGATTTTTTACTCTAATGAAAGTTTTTTTAAATTTTTTCGGCCTTGTTTTGCCCGCAAAATAGTGTGGACCCACCACCATTTTACCACCTTGTTACATACAGTTCGAATCACTGTTCTCAGTGTTTTATTCTTGTTTAATTAATGACGATCCAGACCACTGTTCTTGAATTACAAACTTCCGGCTTGTCACGTTCCGGCCAAAGTATTACAAGTTCCATTTACGACGCTCAGTTGCCGGACATCTCAATATTGTTTTAATTTTTTTCATTAAATCGTTTTATTTTTCATGGAAATTTCAGGGATTACTTTTGATGACAAACAAAATATTCGATACAATTTTCCAGTAATTTTGTTCAGTGGTTTTTCTGTAACGATTTGACGGGTTTGAGGAGTTTGACAACATAGTGTCCAAGTACAAATCGACGGTGAAACTACCGAACCACGTATCTCGTTTGCGGTGTTTAAAAATCTACGCTCGCATTTTTTTTTTTTTTTTTTGAAGTAGACCAAATCAATATCATTCCTTGAAATTTTCACAGAATTTTCTCCGCACGAAGAGGAAAAATCACAGAAATTTTCAAGACTGGACGTTAAGTAGTTTTTCATTTAAAAAATGAAGTATGACAGGAAGTCTGCGACGTCGCAAACCGAGATACGTGGTTTGGTAGTTTCACCGTCGAAATGGTGTTTCTGATGCTCTGATAGTAAAGTCACGTCGTCGCTTCAACATTTTGTGGGCTTTTCGTGTCAATATATATGTTAAACTTTAATCTATTAACCATGCGGTTTTGATATCGAGTTCTTTAAAAAAATGATTTTTATTCCTGTGGACGATCAAATATCGACGGTGAAACTACCAAACCCCGTATCTCGGTTTGCGACGTCGCAGACTTCCTGTCATACTTTATTTTTTAAATGAAAAACTACTTAACGTCCAGTCTTGAAAATTTCTGTGATTTTTCCTCTTCGTGCGGAGAAAATTCCGTAAAAATTTCAAGGATTGATATTGATTTGGTCTACTTCAAAAAAAAAAAAAATGCGAGCGTAGATTTTTAAACACCGCAAACGAGATACGTGGTTTGGTAGTTTCACCGTCGATATGCGCACTATGATGTAGCACCGATGTGATGAGTATGCACTCAAAAACCGATCACAACATGAATGTGTTTTAGGCGAGAAAACCAGTTAGCTCCCCCATTTTCTCTACTCCTTTCTACTTCTTCCTTAATGACTATTGTTTCATATAATTTGCTCGTACCAAAGTTATGCACTTTTGAACAAAACACTACTTAAAAATCGAATAAAATCAGAAATCCAAGGGCACTTACCTTCAGGAGGACACATTGTTTCTTCTACATGTCCTAGAATTTTACTCTCCAGCGGTGGACCTGGCATCTTTTCTGTAAAATGCAGCTGTCTAGACACCGCAACATATCTCTGAACAAGTCTGATGATTAAGTAGCAAGAAATAACGCAAACCACTAGGAAACAAATCATTTCAAACACTCTGTGGATAGGAATCACTCAAATAAATAACACCGAACAATTAATTTTGAGGATCATTGATATGAAATTGAGAAATATCTGGTACATCTAGATCACGGTACGATATCTAAGTTATTAATCACCTAAGTTAACAAAACATAAGCGTATTAGCGTGAATTTTAGAAACAGACTTTAACTCTGAAAAAGCATTTAATGTTACGTGATAGGTGTCTTCCAGTGGCACTTAAAAGTATTCCCAAGTAGTTTAAATCTAAGTTTCTCCGGTAGTATCTGTTGAAATAATACTGCTGATATTTAAGAAAATTAAATACATTTTTATTATGGCCAAGATTATATACAGAAGTGAAAAAGGTTGTCCGCTAAATAATTATTATTGATGGAGAAGAGTTCATTGGATAGAACTGATTTGGCGGATTTAAGTTAATTTAAATATTTGTCTCTCTGATCGCCTAGCACGACACACGCTATACACGTAGAATCCTAGAATGGGCCAGATTTTTATATCAAAGTTAATCTTTTGTACTTCGTCGAGCGACTTAACAGGCAATGAAGGAACTGAAAAAAATTAATACTTTAATTTTTTTTTTTTTTTTTTTTTTTTTTTTTTTTTTTTTTTTTTTTTTTTTTTTTTTT